GCACCGCGGCGCCCTCTGCCGGCCGCGGACTCGCGCCCCGCCCCGAACCGCCGCGCGCCGCCTGCGTCACTGAGCGCCCGCGCGGCCTCGGGGGCGGGGCTGCGCAGCCGGGAGGGAGTCGGGAATGCCGGGTGATCCCTGTGATGGAGCAGCCAGGAGGGAGTCGGGAATGCCGGGTGATCCCTGTGATGGAGCAGCCCAGGAGGGAGTCGGGAATGCCGGGTGATCCCTGTGATGGAGCAGCCAGGAGGGAGTCGGGAATGCCGTGTGATCCCTGTGATGGGGCTCGGAGCCCGCGCTCTCCGGGTCTGTGCCGGCCGCCAGTGCCGAGCCGTGGTCAGCAGTGTGCACTGCTCAGACTGGCTGAGGAATGCATGGCAGCTCCACGCTCTGCTGCATTATCACAGAACCACAGAATAAGCCGAGTTGGAAGGGCCGCACAGGGATGACCAAGTCCAACTCCTGCATAGCCCCATCCCCAAGAGTGACATCATGTCCCCGAGAGTACTGCACTCTGCAGGCTGGTGCTGCTCCAGTGCTTAAACACCCTTTGGATGATAAACTTTTTCCTAATAGCCAACCTAAGCCTCCCCTGACACAACTTCAGGACATTATCTGAGGTCCTGTCACTGGTCACTGCAGAGAAGAGATTGGTGATCCCTCCAATTCCCTTCACAAGGAAGTTGTATATTGCAATGAGGTCTCCCCTTGGTGTTCTTCAGGCTGAACAAAGTGACTTCAGCCATTCCTCATACGGCTTCCTTTCAAGATCCTTCACCATCTTCATTGCCCTACTTTGGATACTCTCTAAGAGCTTAATAACATCTTATACTGTGGCACCCAAAACTGCCCCCAGCACTCGAGGTGAGGCTGCCCCAGAGCAGAGAAGAAGGGACAATCCCCTCCCTTGCCCGGCTGGCGATGCTGTGCCTGATGCCCCCCAGGACACAGGTGGCCCTCCTGGCTGCCAGGGCACTGCTGACTCATGTTCAACTTTCCATCAACCAGGTCCCCCAGGTTCCATTCCATGTCAGTGTTTCCCAGCCTCTCATTCCCCAGTCTGTCCATACATCCAGGGCTGCCCATTCCAGGTGCAGAATCCAGCACTTTCTCCTGCAGTATTTCATACCATTGGTGATTGCTGAGTCACCTAATTTATTGAGGTCTCTCTGTAGGGCCTCCAGGCCTTTGAGGGAGTCAACAGCCCCTCCCAGTTTTGTACTGTCTGTAAATTTGTTTAGTATCCCTTCCAGTCCTGTGCCCAGCTTATTGATGAAGATGTTGACAAGCACAGGGATGAGGATGGAGCCTTGGGAACCCCACTAGTGTTTCAATTTTATCAGCACGAATCACACCTATTTATCACACAGGTCACCAGTCTGATGTCACCCGCTTCACCATAACCCTTTGCACCTGACCTGGGAGCCAGTTGCTCACCCATCACATGGTGTGTTTATCCAGCTGTGTGCTGGACATTTTATCCAGAAAGATACTATGAAGAAAAGTATTGAAAACTTTACTAATTATAACCAGTAAGGCTTTTCTGTCCTGGCTCCTCTTGTGTGGAAGCAAACATAGGACATACTCTTTGCTGGAGGTGGTATCCTTATTTCATTGATGGGCTCCTGAAAGAGAATGACACTACTTTTCCATAGGAAGGAAAGCACATAGCCCCAGTTTCAGGTGCAGATGAAAGGCTGTCAAGGGGAGGTAATAAACAGTATTCTACTATCATCATTTCTTTTCTCATCCAAAACATGGTGATTACTAATGCATTCTTATTTCCAGTTTAAATTTATTCACGTCCTGCTTATTCTTCTAGTACCAATATTACGCTGTAGTTTGCTGTAAGAGAATAATAACATAAGAGAGTACTTTGATCTTCTCAATGATTTTATTTCATTCACCTAGCAGTCTTGGTCTCCCATTTCAGGATAGATAGCCATTTTGTTTACTCAATTGTCCTAAAGTCACTTTTACCTACGTTTTTGCAGATGTTGCAGTTTCTACCCTGTGTGCATAGTACTTAATATATGCATGGTTTTACCCGTCTGAGCAGCTGTGGATATCCAGGTACATATGCTCACTAAGGGTTTTTAAAACAGCATTTTCTCTGAGTTGTGAGTGCTAATGGAAACATTTTCAAAAGAAACAGATGATGCTGTTTTAGAGAATAGGACAATTAGCAGATAATGTACACTAAAGAAATGTTTGGGCTTTTCAAAACAGACCTTCCTGGTGAACTCTGTCAGGAGCACATAGTTGCATAGCAAATGGTTTTTAGATTATTGCCAGCTAAATACAGTTAAGTTCCACGTGGATGCCAGACAGTGACAGAAATGGCAGCAGTGCTCCTTGTGTGATGTGATCTTATGTTTAGCTTTGAAGGGCAGCACAACTGTTTTGTCCAGTCAAGGTGCCAAACGTAATAATAGTTATATTACCAGGCCCCGTTATTAAAGAGCTCTTCTGAAAAGAAGCTGTTCTGCAAGTGCACAAAGGGGTCAAATTTTGTAATGAAAATGTAATTTCTGTCAAGGGTCCAGTTGCGTTTTCAGAAGGACACAAGCTGTACTCTGGCTACTCGGCAATGACCATGGACCATCTAGCTATTAATACTGACACATTCATTATGGTTATCCTAGGGGTCAGCTGTAGTAATTTCCATTAAAAATTCCCACTTTTTTAATGTATTTTTCTTTGATTCTGTTTTCGATAAACATACTTCCAGTTGTTTTAAATTACTATCTGGACCTTGAAAAACAGTTCCCTTAGATAAACATTTTTACACCCTTTCTGAATATATTCCTTAGCCTATTTTCCTTTAACTTACTTTTTTCTCCTGTATTTTCCAAATTAAAGAAAAAAAATCAGAGTTTCTTGTATTAACTGCAAGGTACTGTAAATACTCTTTTTTGAAACTTTCTTTTCCAATTCCATGTTAATTTTCATGTTTTTCTTTTTTTTTTTGTTGTTGTTTTGGTTTTGTTTTGGGGTTTTTTGTTTGGTTTTGGTTTTGGTTAGTTTTTGTTTTTTGTTTTTGTTTTTTTTAATTAAACAGTTGAGGAACTTTTTAATATTTAATTTTTTTTTGCAAGACTTAATTATATATTTTCAAGGAAAATAAGTACATGTGAGAGATTCCAGTTTGTGTAGTCTACCTTAGAACAATGCTTTTTACCACTTACTGTGACACTAAGTGTGATGTGGTAAGATGGCTATGGACAGAAGATGGGAGTAATTTTAGTTGTTAGAAACATCATGATTATAAATTAAGCAGGTTATCGTGAGTAAAGCTGACCAAGAACTTTAATATATACACACTGCACACATTTCTGTAGCTGCCCTAAGTGAAGCTGTATGAAACATGCGGGGAGGAATGCATACTAAGACAGCAGCAAGGAGCTATGCTTACCCATTCCCTTGTCTCAAGCGCAGCTCTTTTACATTTACTTCCATGGCTCCCCTGTAAATGGGTTCTTTGTGCTTGACAGATTTGAACAGTCCAGTCTTCCAGATGGGTGAAGGAGTCTAAGTAGATGTCCTGGTAATTATGGTAATTATAGTGGGACAGGATTTTATAAGGCCATGATGTGTAATCTGAATCATGTTTTTCTGCAGGAGTGAAAGAATATAGATCCAAATGTATCCAGGTCTAACACTGAAATGTACATTTATTTACATTTAAAAATAACCTACTAGCTACTTCCTCTTGTGTTCTCATATTTTCAGCATTTATACTGGTACTTAACTCATCTGCATTTTTAAATAATTCCAGTGATTACATCTGGATATAGAGAAGCTCAGAAATTCTGTAAGTTGTTTCCCTTGCAGTTGTCTTGAACTCCAAATTATATGTTTTATGTCATCTTCACAAATGTAAAAGTAGCTTCTCTGGCAATTTATAGTGTAAACCAGAAACTTTGATAGCAATTGTAGATGCAATACAGAAATCTATTGTGAACAAATTAAAAGCTTGAATGTGCAGCAAAGTACTTGTGCAGAGGGCAAAGAAAATGGGGATGATAGGATGAATAACTTCACTAAAACTGGTTCTTCTGTTCTGAGCTGATTGAGGTGTTCTGACTGTATAGTATTAATACCAATAATGTGATTATTTTCCTGAAACCTGCAAAAGGGAATTGCATAATGATATTTTTTCCTTACGATGCCTACTTAATTTATTTCCAGACTGCATTTCTCACAAACAGCCTACTTGGATTTTCTACTTTTCCTGATTTTTTTTTTCTGCAATAAACTTTTCCTCCCAGACATTGCATAAGTAGTACTATCCGAATTGATGCTGTAATTTTACCAGCCTGGCTTCTTTTTCATTCCTCCTTAGGCAGAATTTAAAGTCAATAAAATGCACTGACATTTATGGTTCTTCTCCCAGATCTGCCCAGTGGCTGCCTGGGCTGTGCAGTGGATGGGATATTTGAGGGGGCGGTAGTTACTCCAAGACTATTAGCTGTTTAATCTTTAGTCCGCAGGTTGGAGAGAGGATGGCTCAGGCAATTGGTAATGGGATAAAGCTTTTCACCTCTGAATTGCCAACTCTGGGCCAGATTAGCAGGGCAGGATATTTCCACCATCTGGTGTCTGGTCAGTGACCCATATGAGGGAAATCAGAAGTACTGGTGAATAGCTTTACAATGAACCCCCTCAGCCCCCAACACATACTGTGTGAGAACGACTGCACCACAAACAGCTCCAAGTGAGCACTAGGACTAAAAATCCCTCTAGAAACTTGATTACCAGGACTCAGCACACTGAAGGGAGTGTGGGAAAATTTGCCAGCATGAGCTGTCAGGGGATGCTGTTTCACTGGGAATATTCACTTTAGAGAAAGCTAGTTTTTTTAGACAGC